ATGATGGGTCTGGGGTGCAGAGCGGCCTGTGTTAGGGGCAGTGGGGACTGTGCACGGGAAATCGTTCGAAGGAGGGAGGGGGGCAGCTCCACACCGGGGGCTGTGCACCGAGAATGGGGGCTGTGTGCAGGGTGCAGTGTGTACGGGGGCTGCTTCCAGCGATGGGACACCCTGGAGAGCTGTGGGGCTGTGCCTAGGGTGTTGCCCGTGGGGGCTGGCCTGCAGGGACTGTGCATTTTTGTTCCAAGTGTGTGTGTGTGTTTGTGTGTGAGGGGGGCTGCTCTGCCCAGGCAATGGAGCTTTGGGAATGGGGGGCCTTGGGCCTGGATTCTGGATGCTGCACAAGGCAGCTGGGAATCAGGGTCCTCTCGGGCTAAAAAGGAGGATACCATGCATGGAGTCTAGATATTGGGAATGGGGCCTTTGGGGCTGGGCTGCAGGGTGCTGAGCAGTGGAGCTGAGTGCTGGGAACAAGGGTCCTCTCACTCTGGGGTACTGCACCCAGGGAAACTGGCACTTGGTAATGGGGGCTTCCAGGTGCAATGTGCTGGCTTGGGAGTGCAGGCTTTGGCACTCCACTTACAGAGCTGCAAATTTCAAATGTCCTGTCTTTTCCCTAGGTGGAGGAACTGGGTTTGTGGGCAGAGCCCTGACCCAGTTACTGCGTAGCCGTGGGCACGAGGTGACCCATGTCTCTCGACAAGGGGGCAAGGATCGGATCAGCTGGGTATGCAATGGGAGTGATCACAGAGGGGGCAACATGTCGGCGCTGAGGAACAAGCTAGCTTACCCTGGCCATATGCAAATATAGGGTGTCTGCATTTGGGAACCTGTCATCCCTGAATGTAGCATTGGACTCCTGAGCACTCCATGGGTCAGAGCTATGGGAATGGGTAATGCTGCAGATCCATCCATGCTTGTGCTGCAGGCCATGTCCCACAAGGGTCAGAAGGGACCTGGCTGGGCTTCTTTAGGAGCCCGCACTGCTTGCTTGTTGAGAACGCTTGAGGAGAGGGGAGACTCGGGGGGGTAATGTGTCTGTTACCCCTGTCTAGGAACAGTTGTCCTGCTCTGGACTGCCCCCGTGTGATGCCGTGGTGAACTTGGCTGGTGAGAATATCCTCAACCCTTTCCGCAGGTAACATGCTCTCCTGTAGTGCTATGAGGTCACAGCAAAGGCAAGACAGCAGACAGGGCATCCAGAATGGAGTTTGGTTCCTTGTCAGCATCTGGGTCCTCGAATCCAAAAAATTTCTATGGGACAGATAGGTCTCAGCAACTTTTGGGAGATAGGTCCCCTTCTGGATTGACAGTTGGAGGCAACGTAAAGTAGCTTCTGGTATCCTAAATGGCGTGGGATGCCTCCATTTAAGTAACAATGCAAAATCAGAACCAAAACTGGTCATGGAAGCCTTTCTTGTACTGCTGAGGATGTTTCTGGAGATGCCTCCTCTGGATACCTGAGCAGAATTCATATCACATGTGTTTCATATCCAGCTTCTCTGGTATGTTTGCACTAAGGGAATCCAAAATCCACAGCCGTTTGCAGGAAGTAGGGAGCCACGTTGTCCCAAAGTGCTTGTGTGCTTGTATAGTGGGGTCCTGCATCCTCACCTTGTTCTGGGGTGGGAGGGAATTCATGTGACCTCCCCTGTGTTTGGGAGGTGTCTGTTGAGGCCATTTGCCCTTGGAGCTGTTATTTTCGGGGATGTCCTGGTAGGGAGTGTGATGAGGGGCTCTCCCTTCCCCAGGTGGGATGATGCCTTCTGCAGGGAAATCATCAGCAGCCGGGTTGAGACCACCAAGACCTTGGCCAAAGCCATTGCTGATGCTGACCAGCCACCTCGTACTTGGATCCTCATCACCGGCGTAGGTATTAGTTGGACTAAGCCAAGGCGTGTCTTGGGCCAACGTGGGAAGACTTCTGAAGGAAACGCGTCTTGCCTTGAAACGCTGTGCATAGTTTTATTGCCATCTTTTGATTTTGACGTCTCTTCTCTGTTTCCCTATGAAAGCCTCTAGGCATCCTGTAGGGCTCAGTTGCAGCCGCCCATGTATCTCTAACTTTGCATTCCTGCTTGCCATAGTCTTTGAAGCAGCTGAGCATCTGAGTTTAGAGCAAGCTTCTTTTCATACGATCAGCTCTGTGCCTTGCTTGCAGATGCATTTGGTTGTTGGGGCTGTCAGCTCAACCTGAATACTAGCAGATCGTACTGAGATTGCAAAGCATATCTGTAATTAAAAAAACCTGTCAGCATCTGTGTCAAAGACACTCTGCTCTGTTCCTGGGAGGATACCCCTGCCCTGATAGAGTGATGGAGCTCTGGGCTCCTCTTGCAGTCAGGGAAGAGGGACCTGGTATCATGATCCAACCCTGACCCTTTTCTCTTGTTACCTCCTCAGGTTATTACCGTCCCAGCCCCACAGCTGAGTACACCGAGGACAGCCCTGGGGGGGATTTTGACTTCTTTTCACGCCTGGTGAGCTCCTGGGAGGCTGCAGCTCTCATCCCTGGGAGCCCAGCTCGTGGTGTTGTGGTGAGATCTGGTGAGAAGGGGCATCATCCCTATTCAGGGTGGCTTAGATTTGGTCTTGGGCAAGAGAAGGAAGGGGTAGGAGAAGGGCATCAGGCCATGTGCCCTTTGTTGCTGGGGTGTCTCCCAGTCCAACCCCTGAGGATTGTCTCATGGTTCTAGGTCTAGGGGTGAGGGGTGCTCTTATCCTTTGAGTAAGGAGGTCCCTATCTCACTCTGCTCTCCCCACAGGGGTAGTGCTGGGCCGTGATGGTGGTGCCATCTCTCGCATGCTCTGGCCTTTCCGGCTGGGGCTGGGAGGCCCCTTGGGCTCTGGACTCCAGCCGTTCCCATGGATTCACATTCGAGACCTGTCTGGAATTGTGTGTCATGTCCTGGAGAGTGAGTGCCTGCAAGGGATCTTCAACGGTGTCTCCCCATCCTCCCCTGCCACCTCCAACGGCACCTTTGCCCAGGAGCTCGGTGCAGCCCTGGGGCGCCCAGCCCTGCTGTCAGTACCCACTTGGGCTGTGCGAGCGGTGTTTGGGGCTGAGCGGGCCATCATGCTGTTGGAGGGCCAGAGAGTGGTACCAAAACGTACCCTGGAGAGCGGCTACCGTTTCATCTTCTCTGATCTCTCTGCAGCTCTGAAGGATATTGTGGCTTGAGGACACCTGGGGTGGGTTGGGAACCTGTTTGTGAGGTTCCCAGCCTGCATGCCTTTCCCTGAGTGAAAGTAGTCCTGCCCCTTCTTGGCTGTCATATCTCCTCTGTATGAGGATGGGATTCTTCATGGGTTTTTTTTCCCCCCTTCCTCTGTCTCCTGCTGTGCATCCCCAATTTAGGAGTTGCTCTTTCTACTGCCAATTCCAGGCCCCATATCACCAGCTTTTGGGGAAAGGCATAAGCCCCTCTAAGAGCTGTAAATGCTAAATTTGACATCTTCCTTTTTTTGACAGCATGTGAGCTGCTAGCAAAGCATCTGGGGATGCAACACCTCCTCTGCTGAGGAAGAGGAGTTGCAACAGGGGAAGTATATCCAGGGTTTGTAACTCTTGTCCATCTTGTTGGAAGCCCCTCTTGTTCCACTCCCCCACCTCGCTTCTCCCCATTTCTTACCCTGTATGTTCACAAGAGATCCAGTTATGCTGCCCTGTTTACCTGTCTCAGTCTTTTAGGGAGTGGGGTTGTGGCTGTGGTGGGGAGAATCCATCCTGAGAGGGTGTGGTGTTCTGCTCACAGATCCTTTTGAATGTTCCGTAGCTTAAGGGACTGTTAAGAGCAAGTACTCCAAGTGTAGCATGACCACAAGTAATAAATATTTATTACTCACTCTTAGATTGCAATCTTGGCCTAATTTGCTATAGCCAGGCATTAAATGTCATTCTATGCACCCTTTGGGTTTGCAGCTAGGTTGCTGTCTTACAAATTCCGATCCCTCAATGTCCTACCAGTCACAGAGGAATCAAGGTGCAAGCATGCTCTTCTCACCAGGTGGGAGGTCCTGTGGTCAGGCCAGCTGCCCAGAGTAGGCTCCACACTGTGCAAGATGGTGTTAGTCCTTCATAGTTTCTCCCTTGTTCTACCTCAGTAGCAGCAGTTTAAACCAATCGCAAGCCAAATTGGCTTTTAACTCAATCAAGTTCTGATATTCCCAAAGAATCCTCTGATTCTTTGTTTTCACTTGTTATCACTGTGTTCCCACATAGTACTACTAGAGTTGAGTTTCTTCAGTGTCATCTCACTCCTTATCACTATATTCCCACACAACTCTGCAGTGTGGTACCTCAGGCTGTGCACACCCCAGGTGACTACCAACTAGTGAGATGCACCAGCACACCCTGCTGTAGTAAACGCTGTGCTATCCATGGCCCACCCTTGCCTGCAGGCCTGTGACATTCTCCACCCCTATGAAGGAGTAGTACATGGGATACATAGATATATTTTAGAAACAGTTGCTATTAAAATCTGTGAGTGTGAGCCATTTCTGTGCCCAACAAGTGCCCCCCTATGCTCACAACCCAAAAAGGGGCTGTAACTCATATGAGTGGTAAATGTGGAAGCCCTGTTGTGCAGTTCCCAGGAGTTCACTCAACTTGGTCAGGCTGTTAACTCTGACTCTAGTCCTTGGGCTATTTAGGGCTTTTTCTTTTCTTTTTTTCCCCTGGGGATTTGGTGTCTTCTACTTCCCTTTATAAAGGAAATCTGACTGTAGCTTAACGTTAGCTCATACTCATCCGCAAGAGGAAGAGTCACAGAGCTGATGTATCCATTGCTGTGAGCAGGGCAGGGCTCCTTGAGGGGTGGGAAAGAGGATCTTTGAGTTCGCACTCTTACTCTGAGGGGAGGTGTTTTGGTCCCCAGAAAAGCCAAGGAATGGAAACCTGAACTCAAGAGGTGCCTCTGAGGGGGCAGAAAGCATCTGCAAGAGCTGCAGCAAGTCCTGAAGTTATGCAGGTGAAAGTATAATTGTCTTGCACTTAGTCTGACCTGCAGTTAGCAACAGTCACTGCAAGATTGTCTGCAACTGCACTGCAGAAGCTCGGCCCGTTCTGGGCTTTAGATGGTCCTGGGGTTAAGACAAAATGAGGGAAATGGGAGTGGAGAGGTACAAGGGTTGCTGGAGGAATCCTGCTGGGTGGGAGTAGAGGCAGAAGGAGCTGAATCACATCCATGGTATTACTCAAGCTTCCCCTGCCCCTTTCTCCCCTCAGCTAGCTGAGCTCCTTCAACTAGGGAGGAGGACAAGAAGATAAAAGCAGCAGGTGAGAAGGATCAGAATGAACTATTGTTCCATGTTCTGAGTTTCCCTTCTGCTACTGTACACCCTAAAACCCAGCAATACAGCCCCTGTGTTCCTGTGGTATCTGATACCCAACAACACAGTCTTTCTGTTTCTGCATCCTCTGATATTCAGTGGTCAGACCTTCTCTGCCAGTACCACCTCAGAGGCTCAACCATGCAGCCTCTTTACTCCTAATGCCTATGGAGATACTGTTCATACCCACTTTCACATCCAGCATTACATAGTTTCTCAGATGCAACAAGTCTGGTATCTGGTAGTACACTGCCTCCACCCTGCAACTTCAGACGCCTGCCATTACAGCAACTTTGATCCTAACCCTTCTAAGATCCAATAATGCAGTTTTGATCCTACCACCTCTGGTATCTACTGGTATACCTCATTGGCTTTCACCTCCTGTGAGACCCAGTGATAGAGCCCTTCTAAACCTAACACGGAATCACAGAATCACAGACTGATTAAGGTTGGAAGGGACCTCTGGAGATCATCTAGTCCAACCCTCCTGCTCAAGCAGGGTCACCTAGAGCATGTTACACAGGATTGCATTCAGGTGGGTTTTGACCAGGAGGCTCTGCAACAGGCAACCTGTCCCAGTGCTCTGTTACCCTCACAGGAAAGAAGTTTTTTCCTCATATTTAGATGGAACTGCGTGTAGTTCAGTTTCTGCCCATTGCGTCTTGTCCTGTTGCTGGGCACCACGGAGAAGACATTTGCCAGGGGAGAGTCTTCCTTTCTGCAGACTTTCTCTCTTGTCCCCAGGGTCTGGAATTCCTGAGGGCTGGCCTTAACAGTAAAGATGGAAACAAAGGTGGAATTCAGCAACTCTGCCTTCTCTGTATCCTTTGTCTCCAGGGCACCCACCCCATTCAGCAGCGGGCCCACATTTTCCCTAGTCTTCCTTTTGCTACTGATGTGTTTGAAGCAGCCCTTCTTGTTGTCCTTGACATCCCTTGCCAGATTTAATTCCAAGTGGGCCTTAGCCTTCCTCCTCACATCCCTGCATACTCTGACAACATCCCTGTATTCCTCCCAAGTGGCCTGTCCCCTTTTCCACATTCGGTAGACTTCCTTCTTCTGTTGGAGTTAGGCCAGGAGCTCCTTGCTCATCCATGCAGGTCCCCTGCCCACTTTGCTCGACTTCTTCCTCAGAGGGATGCACTGCTCTTGAACCTGGAGGAAGTGATGCTTGAATATTAACCAGCTCTCCTGGACTCTCCTCCCTTCTAGGGCCCTACTCCATGAGATTCCCCTGAGCAGGTCCCTGAAGAGGCCAAAGTTAGCTCTCCTGAAGTCCAGCGTTGCAATCCTACTCATTGCCCTGCTCCCTCCTCGTAGGATCCTGAACTCCACCATCTCATGGTCACTGCAGCCAAGGCTGTCCCCAACCTTCACATCTCCAACTAGACCTTCTTTGTTAGTACAAGGTCTAGCATTGCACCTCTCCTCGTTGGCGTCTCCACCACCTGGGTCAAGAAATTATCATCAATAGTCTGCAGAAAAGTTGCCATTGCAGATACCAGAACAGGAATAAGAATAAAAAAACAACCAAACAAACAACTAAATAAATAATAACTAAATGATACCATATGATAATTAATTGTAAATAGAGAAGTGAAGAAGAAAGAAAGGCACTGCAGGATATCCAGGAATAATAGCTAGATAGACAAGACAGATAAGCCAGGACCACATTTTGAAATACAGACTTACAGGACTTCATTTGATTTCCAGTAACTCTGTGCATTTTCTGCATTAAACATACCAGTATGACATAGTCTTTCTGTCATATCCAGCAGATTGACTGGAATGCCATGACTACACTCACATAGAAATTTAACAAAAATAATTCAGTTGAAGTAGCTAGTATTATACGCCTCTACATGAATCCTAGAGTCATACAATCATTGAGAAGTTAAGGTTGGAAGTCATCTCTGTAGGTCCTCTAGCCCACCTCTCTGCTTTAAGCAGGTCTATGCAGCATTATGCCTCAAATTTTTGGCTTTATTTCAGACTTAGAACAATACATGTGAGATCTCAATAGGATTTGCTGAACTATAATTATACAATGAGTTAGAATTTGCATGCTTGCCAGAAATAAAGGTTATAGATTTTTATTCCTGAGGAAATTCAAATATAACTGTATTCATTCCTTTAGATTCTATGCCACTGGCATTGAAATTTCTTTCTTTAAGTGTTAACATGATATTGGCAATCCTCTGTTGCCAATTACCATAATGCAATTGCAAAAAATGATATCTACAAAAGTATTAATCTCATCTATGTATGGACAGCACAATGCAAATATCTAGAGCTGAGTTAGTCCTCAAGAATCCTTTCAGAGTTGTGCTATGCATAGACATTTCTAGGGCACATTTTAATTGGCCTATTTTAGATATCTATCTATTGCATGAGAAAATTGCGTTAGTATGGTATATACTAGCTGAGATGAATATTCAATCATATTTATCCATATACACAGTATATTCATAATTGTATAATTCTCAGAATGAATCCTGCACTTGTATTTGATCAGTTGAATCCTTCCTTCGATGTCCGTGTCATGATTACATGAGATTTCAGTGAACTGATGGCAAATTTTCGTTCTACTAACCAAAATCAAACTCTCAGCTTTAACTCTTTTAAGACGTACAGATGAAGAATTTAGCTCACTAAACTGAAATTAGACATCTTCATACAGACATATGTACATGACCTAAATATAAATGGATGGTACTGAGATGCTGAAGGATAGGTTTTTAGCACCCTTTGAGACTATTGACTATCTGAAGCAGATACATTGGCCTGGTAAATGCAACATAGGAACTACATGGGACCATATCTTTCTGTAGCAGCAGATGGAGACCCGATGAGGTACATATAACGCATGTTAAATTCCATATTAGAGTACTGAATTATACCAAATGAAGAGTAAAGATCTATTCAATAGAGTGGGTGAACTGAATACTGTCCTAGAGTTGACTGACTGTATTACTAGATCTGTATTGACTGCAATGGGAGCATAGAAACCTATACACAGATAGGCTCTAAATTAGATGCTTGAAATTGAAGTTGATTATCACCTGAGTAGTTTAAGCTAAACAGTGTATGACTTTGAAATCTCTTATGTTGTGCAGCTTTGATTGATAGAATCATTTTGATATTTCTGAATAAAGAGTTCAGGCAGATACTCTATTGTGGAAGGAAACTAAATATATGGCAAGACAGATCACCTTTAGCTTTATTCATCTACTAGATAATTGTTCAAATCTAAGGCAGTTGACTAGGATTTCTTTATAGAGAATGTGGAGAAATCGTCTGAGGAGAGGAAAGGAGAGGAGAGGAGATATCCATAAAACATGATCAAGATAGGTGATTTTTAAGAAATATTTCCATTTCACTTTTTTTTTTCTAATTTCTTTCACTTTAAAATAAATAATGGGACATGCTGTAACTCAAGGCCTTTTTACTTACGTTTGAGGACTCATGCTAATCTGTTGCTAACATCCTTGGAAGCAATGCCCTGGCTTCCCTCCTCAAA